CCGCGTCATACCAAAAGACGTTAAAATATGGTACTTGTTGGTCCCTGTCTGGCGCTCGGCATTAATGGGTACAACAAGGACTGGTCGGCTCGGAGTCAGTATAATGTGTCTGAGTGGGGTATTCATGCTTCACTGCGGCATGGTATCTCAGTGGGCTAGCACTATAAAACCAGCTTCAGTCTGGACTAGTACAAGCAGTCACACATACACACACACACGCATGCACGTCGTCATATGAGCGAAATATTCTCAAGCACGACATTAAATCCAATTTCACCTCACCTCACCTCACCTTGTTTTTCGATGCACTCAGCAATATTCCAGCTATATGGAGTTTGTCCGTAAATAATCGAGTCTGGACCAGACAATCCAGTGATCAACAGCATGAGCATCGATCTACACAGTTGGGATATGATGACATGTGTCAACCAAGTCAGCGAATCTGACCCATGATTAATGTTAGCGACCGTCTCTTACGGTGCTGAAGTGTCACCAATTCTAACCCCGATCTTCACTGGTGTAATTCAGCAAGGACCCAATCTGGGAGAAATACTGCACCTACCAAGGACTAAGTTAAGCGGAGTTTCATTGTATTTTGGCTAGATTAGTTACATGGATAGCTATGGACTTCTTGAGTTCACAAAGCACATACTGGGGGGTTTTACGTCACACGGAAATGTGCATCCAGTACTTACTTATGTGTAGAATTTACGCAGACAAAAATATATGGTGTGTCTTAAGTTATGCACAATAATTACTGATCTAAATTCTCGACTAGCAACATAAAGTTCCTTGTATAAACATAATGATTACATCCCTTAGTACAGTACAGAACAGTATGCTGTCTGATTACTTTACAAGACCTTCACAGATGATACGATATTCGGGAATTAAATCTACAGATAACAAAGCATCACCAAATGTCTAAAAGAGGAGTGAATAGTAAAAATACAACACATGAGCACAACTATGCAATGTTTTAGCAGTCACACATAAATAAGTACAATGTGTAAGATATATGCCGATAAATGGTTAAATGACTTTCACAGATACATGTCTTATGAATGAACGTTGTACGATTAAACTTTAACTGACGAGTCTTTAAACATTTTACATCAACAGATGCAAGGATGAAAGTACTGGAATGCTTTTCATTACAGTGATATGTTCTAGAAGATTATAATGAGATCCTTGAGTTAACAGTATCTCCTGTGGATTCCAATGTAGGATGATAATTTCAGACAGACATTTCAGTCTGGTACCACCAGCTAATGTACTGAATTCACATCATTGCAAGCATGATTATTTATGTTTATAACACTTACTAGTACTTATCAAATACATTTGCTGCCTATCACTCAGTGAGGTGAGGTGAAATTGGGTTTAACGTCGTGCTTGAGAATATTTCGCTCATATGACGACGTGCATGCGTGTGTATGTGTATGTGTGGCTGCTTGTACTAGCCCAGACTTAAGCTGGTTTTATAGTGCTAGCCCACTGAGATACCATGCCGCAGTGAAGCATGAATACCCCACTCAGACACATTATACTGACTCCGAGCCGACCAGTCCTTGTTGAACCCATTAATGCCGAGCGCAAGACAGGGACCAACAAGTACCATATTTTAACGTCTTTTGGTATGACGCGGTTGGGGATCGAACCCACGACCTTCTGCTCTCCAGGCGGACGCTCTTACCACTATACCACTGAGGCGGTCGCCTATCACTCAGTATGGACAACAAAAATATATGACAAGTTATTGATTAATTGATACTTGACTGATTAACCAAGCACTTCATCTGTGTGTATTCATGCTTCCATTAGGCCTGACCAATTTTATTTCTTGTTTTACTGATCCGGTCATATTTTTTCAAGAATAATGATAAAAACAAATTAATTTTCCCTGCTCAATAAATAAAATCATAATGTGTTTATAGGCCAAAAATGTAAACTTACAAGAAAAAAAGTTTAGATTGTTTTTTGTGTGCCCCATATACACTTTTAGTATTTGGGTGGAATATTACTTTAACTGGTGATTTTTTCCCCCCCTTCCTGCCTTTAGGTTTTCTGAGGACAAAAATCTGTAAAACAAGAAATAAAATTGGTCTGGCCTTAGCTTAAAAAAATATATATCAGGACAGGCCCATCACCTGACAACTTAATCGTGATTTGACTGATAATAGAATTGATGGGACTTCTGTTGCATTATTGAATACCACTGATTTCATGTTGTCAACATTTTTTGGTGTTAATTGTTAAATAAACAGTCTGTGGCCAAAAATATTGATAAGAATTTAAATCAGTAAGTTTTTGTGTTTGTGGAGATGAACGTGGATAAACAGACTCAGACAGTATGCACTACAGCTCCATAAATGCAAAACAGCATTGAAATTGATTGTTCATGTAATTTCTTTGCTGATCTTTATTGTTTAAAGATGGTGATCATATCTGAAGAAAGATGAATCTATTGTTTCTGATAACTGCCAGCATCTCTTCACCTCAAAATAAATGCTTCTCCGGAAGATTTATTGTTATACATCAATCCACTTACTGTCTATCAATACTACATTTCCTAATCATATCATAGAAAAAAACATTCAGCATGTTTCAACTTTCAGTATTGCTTCAAAACATTATGCTTGGCATTGAAGCTGAAGTCATCTAATCAATATACAGGAGAGATTGGAGGCCAAGGGGAGATAACTAGGGATGGGTCAATTGGCTGATGAGGACGTCGGCATCTGGAGACAGCTGTGGTGAGCTGTGGTTTATTGATTGTAGCACTTCAGAAAGTTCATACAGAAATATGGTTAAAGGGAGATAATATACAAGACACATAATGAAGTGCAACAAATATAAAATCACATCAAAATGTTGACTGAACAGTGACCGAATACGGCTGTTTGTTTCAATATTCAAGCCATATCATGACAGTTGACACCACAAATGGGCTTCTCACGGTGTTACCTCGTCCCTCAAACATGGAGGTCCCTGGGACCCATAATTATTAGTTTTAAGGGTCCTGTGAAGTAACACTCACTGTAGGGAACTGTATGTTTTGATAATATCTTTAGAGGCTGGAATTAATTATTGATCATGTGGACTGATGGATGAAATGATGCATGTAACTGCTCTGAAAGAAACAACCAAACACTCAGCAAAGTCATTGATGTGTTGTAGGTACAATAAATAGAGAATCTCACCCGAGTGTCCTTTGATATCAAACATATAGCATATCACCATGAGTTGATAAAGTAACAAATATCCGAGGCTTGCCGAGGATATTTTTACTTTTATCAGCGAGTGTTGATATATTTGATATCAGAAGACACGAGGGTGAGATTCTATTTATCACCAAAAATCACTCTTCATTAGTTTTCAATGAAAAATGTACATCTCTGAACACAGTACTGCCATTAGATTTGTAGTGCAGTGATGTCACAGCATTGTGATGTCATCAAGTTGATGACGCCATAGCATTGTCAGGGCATTGTGCAAAATCTACTGTCAAAACAATATCTCCTAGAAGATATCGTCTGATCTCACACAAGCAATATCTCCTGTGGAACACAGTTTTGGATGATAAATAATATTGGACACAATGAACTTGTATCTGCATCCATTCTCTACATTTGTGCATCAAGTAAAACCCTGGTTTCTCACACTGTACTTGTGGGGAAATGAACCCGGGTCCTTCATGATGAGCTAACACTTACCACTAGACTACCCAACCACCCCTTTGACGGAACATTGTATGAGATACACAAGAGAGTTGAGATGAGGTTGATGAAACTATTTAAAACCAATACACAATTGTATCTTTGAACGTCATAATCTACCATGTATATTATGTTATGTTAAATGTATCCCAGGGTGACTGATTGACTGATTGCTAGTTGTTTCTTGTAATGGAGGGGCGTTGGGGTAGCCTAATGGTTAAAGCGTTGGCTCGTCACACTGACGATCCGGGTTCGAATCCCCACATGGGCACAATGTGTGAAGCCCATTTATGGTGTCCCCCGCCGTGATATTGCTGGAATATTGCTAAAAGCGGCGTAAAAACCAACTCACTCACTCACTCTTGTAATGACCCATCAGTCCAACAATTGTTGTATTGTTGTACACTTACCTAGCAATTAATAATTCATGAGATATTTGACTGTTCTTGACAACTGCTGCTTGTTTGTAGGTTTGCCTAATGTGCATTAATTTGTGTCACTAACCTTAAAAAAACCTCATCTGTCCAACTACGAATCTCCCACCAGGTATCTATTCAAGTCATACAGAGGCATTGATGGAGATTTTATGACACTTCATGTGGTTTGTTCAGGATATTGTGTACGATCTCATATGAGGAGCTATCTCCTGAGATAAAACCTATGCTTATTGAAATGGTATTTCCCAAACACAAATATTTGACATCAGTTGATTTGTTTCCAATACTCTCTGTGCAGACAGTAGAAGACCTAACCGTGAGGTTTGAATAAAGGTGACTTCATTCACACCTAGGAGTGGCTGCAAACCTAATTTTGTTCGACTGCTCAAGACGAACAGGCAAATGATAATTAATCTTTTTCTTTTGTGTAGGAATCATAATGTGCCACACATAAAAAAGTCGGTTGCCACAAATCTATAAGGTGGTTGCAACAAATTATCTGTAAGCTTCTTGTAACAAATCCATATGCTCATGGCAACAAGTCTTTAAGCTGGTTGTCACAAATCTGAATGTTTGTAGCTGGGAATCTGTCAGATCCTTGGAGCAAATCTATATGCTCATGGCAACAAATCTGAAAGTTTGTAGCCAGAAATTTGTCAGCTTCTTGTAGCAATTCTATATGCTCATGGCAACAAATCTGAAAGTTTGTAGCCAGAAATCTGTCAGATCCTTGTAGGAAATCTATATGCTCATAGCAACAAACCTCAAAGTTAGGTGGTTCTAACATTTTGCGAACAGTCACTTATTATGACAGTGATGACGTAATGTTTCCCGGTAATCTTACCTGTCCCATCAGGCACTGTAAGGCTGTCCATGTCTGTGGACTTGAGGAAGGGGGGAGTAACTCCCACGGCGATGAGGCGGTAGCATGCGCACCGGTTCATCTGCTGGCTCACTGGCCCTGGATGGAGTGGCTGATCTTGACAGGAGGGAGATGTTGTCGAAGGAAAACACGGGATTCTCCACCCCTTCCTTGGGTGACTTCCTCCCACCTTTTTTATCCATGAGGTTCTCATGAGACCCAAAGGGAACGTTGGGATGAGTCACATGGATTTGTGGCATCTTGGGAGATGATGACTGTGGCGTAAACATCTTGCTAGTTGGACGGACAACGGTTTGGACGTGAAATTCTTGGGTTTATCAGCTGTAAAATAGACCAGATACTGTTCAAAGTAACGTAAAACCCAACTCACTCACTCTAGCCAATAGATCAAAAGATTCGGTTCCAATTTGTGTAGATCCCAACTCACCTGTGTTGTGGAATCATGGCACTGGGATGACTGTCACAGACAAATGGGGACATGGTCATCTCCAGCATCCTCCTCACAGTGTGTCACATTTCTTGGTTACTCAGGCCGTCGGTCCCCTGAAACAGAACACAACAGACCTTCAGTGAAACCACAGAAACAACTAATCTGATGGACACAGAAGAATGTAAACGATGTGTTGGGCAGATGCTGTCATGAATCTTACTGCCCTACTCAAATCAGGTTTCACATGTTTGTAATCATACTTCACCTGTTTGAATCATACTTCATGTTTGTCATGCGTTTTCACGCTTGTGATCATACTTCACATGTTTGTAATCATACTTCACCACATGTTTGTAATCATACTTCACATGTTTGTAATCATACTTCACATTTTTTTGTAATCATACTTCAAATTTTTTGTAATCATACTTCACATGTTTGTAATCATACTTCACATGTTTGTAATCATACTTCACATTTTTTGTAACCATACTTCACATTTTTTTGTAATCATACTTCACATGTTTGTAATCATACTTCACATGTTTGTAATCATACTTCACATGTTTGTAATCATACTTCATATTTTTTGTAACCATACTTCACATATTTTTGTAATCATACTTCACATGTTTGAATCATACTTCACATTTGTCATCCGTTTTCACGTTTGTAATACTTCACCTGTTTGTAATCATACTTAACATGTTTGTAATCATTTCTGGTCTCACAATGTTTTGGTAGTTTTAAATGAGCTTACTTTTGCCTCTGTTACACATGAAACTTCACATAAATGTAAAATGAAAGACTTGTCAATTCTGTTTGAAACACCCGATAATCCCCTGAAAATTCCATGGGGACTTATGACTAGCTAATATAGACATTTAAATGAATTATATCAAGTGTATTTTAATATATTTATATATTGGGCATTTTGATACAATTATCACAGACTTCATGTTTGTCGGTTGCTCAAAATCTGCAGGCAAAAGTCACATAATGCTCAAGAAATGTACTGTTCTATCAAGTGAACCTATGCTTACAGTGAAGTTATTAGTGAGAAAACGAAGCTGACCTAATTTTGTGCTGACAACAGACATTTCATCTAGGTCAAAAAGAAAGAGCTTTTAGATCCAATGGTGATGAACCAAGCCATATACAATTTACAAACAAAGAACTTGTTGTTCGATAAATAGAATATATCAAATATGTCAACACTTGTCCACAAGTTTTTGCGTGTTATCCCATTGTCAATGTATGTTGAAATATTTGATATCAAAATACACCTTCAAGCAGGATGCATTGTGGATCGAAATAAATGTAACAGTATATGATTACAGTATATATTCCTTTTATCAAGATTATTGATAGTATTGATATTTCAGGGTGGCATTAATGGTAGCTACTGTTATTTTTAACTTGTAATCAATATAGTCCCACGGGTCCATGACAAATGAGAAACACCAATTGTTCAAGCAACCTTAATTACTACTAGCATGACATAAGCTTGCTGTAAGCTTTGCTCTAAGATGTTCACAGAGGTGTGACTGTTGTATTGGCTGTAGTTATGCCACTCAATGTGCTACTTGAGAACAATGGGTACAATGTAGGGGTGACTGTTGTATTGGCTGTAGTTACGCCACTCAATGTGCTACTTGAGAACAATGGGTACAATGTAGGGGTGACTGTTGTATTGGCTGTAGTTACGCCACTCAATGTGCTACTTGAGAACAATGGGTACAATGTAGGGGTGACTGTTGTATTGGCTGTAGCTACGCCACTCAATGTGCTACTTGAGAACAATGGGTACAATGTAGGGGTGACTGTTGTATTGGCTGTAGTTACGCCCCTCAATGTGCTACTTGAGAACAATGGGTACAATGTAGGGGTGACTGTTGTATTGGCTGTAGTTAAAGCCCTCAATGTGCTACTTGAGAACAATGGGTACAATGTAGGGGTGACTGTTGTATTGGCTGTAGGATACCACTCAATGTGCTACTTGAGAACAATGGGTACAATGTAGGTGTGACTGTTGTATTGGCTGTAGTTACGTCCCTCAATGTGCTATTTGAGAACAATGGGTACAATGTAGTGACTGTTGTATTGGCTTGTACGCGCCTCAATGTGCTACTTGAGAACAATGGGTACAATGTAGGGGTGACTGTTGTATTGGCTGTAGTTACGCACAATGTGCTACTTGAGAACAATGGGTACAATGGGTGACTGTTGTATTGGCTGTAGTTACGCCACTCAATGTGCTACTTGAGAACAATGGGTACAATGTAGGGGTGACTGTTGTATTGGCTGTAGTTACGCCCCTCAATGTGCTACTTGAGAACAATGGGTACAATGTAGGTGTGACTGTTGTATTGGCTGTAGTTACGCCACTCAATGTGCTACTTGAGAACAATGGGTACAATGTAGGTGTGACTGTTGTATTGGCTGTAGTTACGCCCCTCAATGTGCTACTTGAGAACAATGGGTACAATGTAGGTGTGACTGTTGTATTGGCTGTAGTTACGCCCCTCAATGTGCTACTTGAGAACAATGGGTACAATGTAGGTGTGACTGTTGTATTGGCTGTAGTTACGCCACTCAATGTGCTACTTGAGAACAATGGGTACAATGTAGGTGTGACTGTTGTATTGGCTGTGTTACGCCACTCAATGTGCTACTTGAGAACAATGGGTACAATGTAGGTGTGGACTGTTGTATTGGCTGTAGTTACGCCCCTCAATGTGCTACTTGGAGAACAATGGGTACAATGTAGGTGTGACTGTTGTATTGGCTGTAGTTACGCCACTCAATGTGCTACTTGAGAACAATGGGTACAATGTAGGTGTGACTGTTGTATTGGCTGTAGTTACGCCCCTCAATGTGCTACTTGAGAACAATGGGTACAATGTAGGGTGACTGTTGTATTGGCTGTAGTTACGCCCCTCAATGTGCTACTTGAGAACAATGGGTACAATGTAGGTGTGACTGTTGTATTGGCTGTAGTTACGCCCCTCAATGTGCTACTTGAGAACAATGGGTACAATGTAGGTGTGACTGTTGTATTGGCTGTAGTTACGCCCCTCAATGTGCTACTTGAGAACAATGGGTACAATGTAGGTGTGACTGTTGTATTGGCTGTAGTTACGCCCCTCAATGTGCTACTTGAGAACAATGGGTACAATGTAGGTGTGACTGTTGTATTGGCTGTAGTTACGCCCCTCAATGTGCTACTTGAGAACAATGGGTACAATGTAGGTGTGGACTGTTGTATTGGCTGTAGTTACGCCCCTCAATGTGCTACTTGAGAACAATGGGTACAATGTAGGTGCGGACTGTTGTATTCATTGGTAGTTACGCCCCTCAATGTGCCACTTTGAGAACAATGGGTACAATGTAGGTGTGACTGTTGTATTGGCTGTAGTTACGCCCCTCAATGTGCTACTTGAGAACAATGGGTACAATGTAGGTGTGACTGTTGTATTGGCTGTAGTTACGCCCCTCAATGTGCTTGAGAACAATTTGAGAACAATGGGTACAATGTAGGGTGACTGTTGTATTGGCTGTAGTTACGCCCCTCAATGTGCTACTTGAGAACAATGGGTACAATGTAGGTGTGACTGTTGTATTGGCTGTAGTTACGCCCCTCAATGTGCTACTTGAGAACAATGGGTACAATGTAGGGTGACTGTTGTATTGGCTGTAGTTACGCCCCTCAATGTGCTACTTGAGAACAATGGGTACAATGTAGGGGTGACTGTTGTATTGGCTGTAGTTACGCCCCTCAATGTGCTATTTGAGAACAATGGGTACAATGTAGGGGTGACTGTTGTATTGGCTGTAGTTACGCCCCTCAATGTGCTACTTGAGAACAATGGGTACAATGTAGGTGTGACTGTTGTATTGGCTGTAGTTACGCCCCTCAATGTGCTACTTGAGAACAATGGGTACAATGTAGGTGTGACTGTTGTATTGGCTGTAGTTACGCCCCTCAATGTGCTACTTGAGAACAATGGGTACAATGTAGGTGTGACTGTTGTATTGGCTGTAGTTACGCCCCTCAATGTGCTACTTGAGAACAATGGGTACAATGTAGGTGTGACTGTTGTATTGGCTGTAGTTACGCCCCTCAATGTGCTACTTGAGAACAATGGGTACAATGTAGGGGTGACTGTTGTATTGGCTGTAGTTACGCCCCTCAATGTGCTACTTGAGAACAATGGGTACAATGTAGGTGTGACTGTTGTATTGGCTGTAGTTACGCCCCTCAATGTGCTACTTGAGAACAATGGGTACAATGTAGGGGTGACTGTTGTATTGGCTGTAGTTACGCCCCTCAATGTGCTACTTGAGAACAATGGGTACAATGTAGGGTGTGACTGTTGTATTGGCTGTAGTTACGCCCCTCAATGTGCTACTTGAGAACAATGGGTACAATGTAGGGGTGACTGTTGTATTGGCTGTGTTAGTTAAGCCCCTCAATGTGCTACTTGAGAACAATGGGTACAATGTAGGTGTGACTGTTGTATTGGCTGTAGTTACGCCCCTCAATGTGCTACTTGAGAACAATGGGTACAATGTAGGTGTGACTGTTGTATTGGCTGTAGTTACGCCCCTCAATGTGCTACTTGAGAACAATGGGTACAATGTAGGGGTGACTGTTGTATTGGCTGTAGTTACGCCCCTCAATGTGCTACTTGAGAACAATGGGTACAATGTAGGTGTGACTGTTGTATTGGCTGTAGTTACGCCCTCAATGTGCTACTTGAGAACAATGGGTACAATGTAGGGTGTGACTGTTGTATTGGCTGTAGTTACGCCCCTCAATGTGCTACTTGAGAACAATGGGTACAATGTAGGTGTGACTGTTGTATTGGCTGTAGTTACGCCCCTCAATGTGCTACTTGAGAACAATGGGTACAATGTAGGGGTGACTGTTGTATTGGCTGTAGTTACAATGTGCCTTTGCAGAGAACTCAATGTGCTACTTGAGAACAATGGGTACAATGTAGGGGTGACTGTTGTATTGGCTGTAGTTACGCCCCTCAATGTGCTACTTGAGAACAATGGGTACAATGTAGGTGTGACTGTTGTATTGGCTGTAGTTACGCCCCTCAAT